CAGTACAGCACGAAAAAAGTCTTTCCTTTTCCTGTTCCTTCTGGGAATCGCCTACAGCAAGCTCTAACTTCATGGCATCCTAACTTCTTTATAAAGACAACCTTATTTTCATATATAGAGGAGTTAAAGTGCAAGACAGAAATTTATCAAAGCCAATAGACTTGCACTCCAGTACTCAGACCTTTTCAACTTTTAAGTGCACACTTAGCATTGAAGACTAAGCTTTCTGCTGCCAGGCTATGCGGAATGAAGAGATCATACCTCTCCTGTCCTTTTTCCCAAACTCACCATAGGGAACCAATATTTAATTTAATTTAATAATTTAATTGATTTCATCGCTGAGCATCCCCTGCACATACACTGATCAAGCTGGAATTTTTATTAGAGCTAATAGGAACCTTGTTTACAGATATCTTTTTCTAGGCTCAGTCTGTTCTACAAAACCTTTTCAGAACTCTCAGAATGAGACTTGGTTTGATTTGAACATAGTTTCCTCTTTACTCACGTTCTCAAACAGGTGTAAAATAAAATTACTTTCTCATACCTTCTGATGGAGATGGTATAAGTTTATCACATAGAATCAGAGCCACATTTTCTAGTTCTGAATCATACTACTAGGTTGTACAGTAACAGTTACAGTATCCTTTTCCCTGTTACTGGAAAACATACAAGATTGAAACATATTGAATGTCCCGTTTCCAAGAATCTGACTAGATTTCAGCCTGCAGTTTCTACCATAGTAAGACTCTCTGTATCAGTTGCCAAAACTTCAGAATTTGCTTGCGCCTTTCTCTTATGCTGGAAATGAATCCTGATCGTGCAGCATCACCTTAAAATATATTTCTGAGGTGTGGGAGGATTTTTAAGATCTGAAAATGAACGAAGGATGGAAAACATCTTGAAGCCAAAATATGATGTATAGAATGACATAGTGACTGCATCATGATTTCTTTTTTTCTGGTTAAGCTGCCAGTGTTCACTCTTCTGTGGATATGGTATGTGTGAAGTAGAGAAAAAATATAAAACTTTATTGAAGTTTTATACAGGATGCAAGTTTCTCTTAAGAATGAATCGTTTGCACTTTACCTTGAAATAAATCAGGTTTTGATTTGAAGTGCAAGTATGGAAAAGTTCTTTCAGTCCTAGCTTTCAATAGTTTCAAGAAAACTTCTAAATGGTCTACTTCTGGATCCCAGTCTGTAAGATGGAAGTTGGACTGAATTTCAAGCTTGAGGCTTGTGATAGAATAGCCCCATCCAGCAATCAGGCATGCACCAGGTGCTTGCTAACACCCCCCTGCTCCCCCCCACACACACACCCAGCAGAGGAGGGAAATGGTAGATCAATAGCAGGGAAAAAATTGGTAGGTTAATTAAGACACTTTAATAAGAGAAGGAAAATAAGGAAAACAACAACAGCAAAAGTGATGCAAAGGCATCACTCACCACCTCCCACCAACAGACTGATGCCCAGCTGGTCCTTGAGAAGTGGCTACTTTGGGAAAAACTACCTCCCAGTTTTATTGCCAACCATGACATTAAGCAGCATGGAATATCCCTCAGTCAGTTTAGGTCAGCTGTCCCAGCTGCGTCCCCTCCCATCCTATTACCCAATCCCAGCTTACTCAACATGGGGGCCAGATGAGAAACAGAGAAGGCCTTGATACTGTACAGGTTACAGCACTGCAAACACAGAGTGACTCTTAACTTCCAGTACTTTCCTTTATTTTTAGTGCAATGCATTAACAACAAACTACAAAAAGTTCTGACGTTATATGATTTCCGTGTACAGCTACAGTACCGAATAGCAAGGTTTTATTTATTGACTAAAACATTTCAATGGGAAAATCGCTTGTCCAGTGTTATGAACTATTACCTATCAAAGGGCTTGCCTTTGCAGACAATTGAAGCACCATTCCTGTATGAATAGGAAGTTAGGAATCACTCATGCCATTAATACAAAGCCAGACTTGTGCAGCATGTCTTGGTGAAGGCTGTTTACAATGTCCACTGTGAAGTTTCAAGTCTGATGTGCTCCAGTCTTTCAGTAAGGTTTGTGCTAGAACCAAATTGTGTTTTCTACAGGTATTTGGAAGTATTTCATTTGCAGGTAAAACTTTATACAAGTCAGTGCAAAAGGTTTTATTTGCCTCAGTTGGGCCAGGACTTTCCTGCAAGTTCTGCTAAAACCCTACCTGGCCTACTTCCAGCATTTCTCATTTTACCTTCACTTGCTTGTACTCATTGTTAGAGCACTTATTATATTTACCATGCTATTATCATAGCACGGTAAATGTTCTGTACATGCTTACTTCCCCCTCAAAAGTAAGCTGTGCAACCACTGGAGCTCCAGACAGCAGTGGTACACGCTGTAACACTGCATTTACAAAGACCAAAGACTTCATGCCTTAGAAACAAACCAGGAAACACAGAAATCCAGAAACACTGGCCTATCACAACAGACTAGTACCATATCAATGTAAACCAACACTGAATCTATGGATTTTAAGACTGTTCCTCTAACTTTCCTTTCTCAAATACTTACTGTGCTTATTTAGAGCAAAAGTGCTAGAGGAAAAAACACCACATCCAACCAACCAAAACAAACAAACAAACAAACAAAAAAGAACAACAGCAACAACAAAAACCACACATGCAAACAAAAAGACTATTTGAGCTAATACCCAGACTGGAATATATCAAAGTTTAAAGCTGCTTACAGGCAGAAGAAATATTTGTTGTCTGAAACACTTAAAGATCTAGTGAATTATTGATGTTTACTGTAATGCAATGCCGAGTCAAGTTGGAAAAAGAATAAGGAGGTAACAGAACACTGCCCACCTAAAACTGAACTTAGGGAGGAATCAAGGATGTTGCCGTGACCAATAATAAACACTGGACATCTGTTCTTTTGGAGGGAAATTTACTCCATACATTAGTGTAATAAAGCATTAAAAAGCATCCTTCTAAATCAGGAACTTTAACGGTCACTGTTAAATCACTGTTACGTATGTTCTTTGTACCTCTAAAAATTGTTTTAAACAATGAAAATGTTTTATATAGAGAGAGATTTGTAAACAGAAGCTTATTTTTAGCCTGATTAAATAATCTGAAGTATATCTTAGATGTATGTTTTCCTTCAGGGTTTTCCTAAAGATCACACTGCATATATCTGTATATGCAGTATAGCATGTTTAGGAGAGAGTGGAAGTCAAGAAGGTTCTTTCATATGATTCTTTACGAGTCCCCCCGTTTCTCTTCCTTAAAAATAATTACAATACCTTGTCTACTGGGAAAAGCACTAATTGGACGTATCTGCCATCACTGTGCCATGTCACAAAGGGAAAAATCCTTACTAATGGTTCCTGAAACGCCAATCTGAGGTGGGTGGCATTAGATGATTCACAGAAGACAACCATCTCTGTAGGTTAATTGTTTTTATTTTGTTCAGACTTAGCTGATTTATTTTGAACTAGTCATGGGGTAGTTAATAAATGTCATTCACTTCATTAAAAACCAACATTCTCATTTGTTGTAAATAGTAATCAAAGCACATATAGAGAGCAAAAAAGTGCTGACCAGAATGCCCTCTACTTAGTATGATAAAGCACAATGAAATCAAGCTTTAAAATAAAATATGGACTTCTCAAGGAGTTATACTGAGCTATATTTTTCGGACATTAAGGAAAAACTTGCATTCATGTAGCAAAGTAATAAATACCCTAGACCCTCACATGCCAGGTGACTGTATTAAACATCTGGTCAGCCAGCAGAAGTGGCCCATCTCCACTTTCAGACTGAGGATTGAGATGGAAATAGAAGAATTATTAGTCTGGGAATCACACCCAGGCTTAGACATCAGCTACATGAGGAGCCATATGCATATGCACAAACAGTATTAACAGGTTGACGGAAAAGAGCTCAGGCTTCTCTAGAAGATACTTGCCTAGTAGGTTAGCAGCAACTTCACAGACTTGTCAAGAACCTAATCATTCCATTTAGATATTCAAAAGTATCTAAATCCCTTTTCCAGCCATCTATAAACTCCTTCACTGGCAAGACAGCTGAAGCTTTGAGAAATTTAAGATCCAACATCCAAAACAGAAGTCAGACAGATATGCAAGTCATATATAAGTATACTTACTGAGTGAACTGGACTCCTAGGCTTTATCTGATGACTTCCATGTGGAAGACAATTCCACAACATGAGTCTTCAACAGCTTATGAATTTTCAATTCTCCTATCCTCATAATCTCATTTTTACCCCTGCAAAGAATTCTGACCCCTCACCTCTGTCAAAATGATTTAGACCAGACTATTCACTATAAGCAAATTTGGTTATAGCCAGAGTTTATATTTATATATATATATATATATACACACACACACACAAATAAACCATAGACTTCTAAAGGTTTTTTAACTCCACCTCCATCCGACTACCTTGGATGTGGGTGACAATCGCACATTGGATTCTGACTGCTCTGGAGCAATAAGCGTACACTTGATTTGCCTCCCTGAACAAATCTGAATATTCCCCAAGTCTCATCTAATCCTACTGTAAGAAGAGAACTAAGAAAGATTTCTATTTATAATTCTTATGACCAATGTAAATTATTTCTCAAAGCAAGGGACGCTTCAGGGAACAACAACAACAAAAAAATCTCAGCTACATTAGCATAAGTAAAGAGTAAAAATCATTGTTTTTGTTTGCCAAAGACAGCATATTACCTGATACTGAGCAGAACAACAGAATTATCCTCTAATTTTAAGTGTAATAATAGTTAGAAGTTGTTTTTCTTCAGACTCTGAATAAATTTCACTGAAATGTTTTCCCTCTTCCTTAGGTTACCTCTTGGCACTGAAGGAACTCTTATGACTACAAAGTTCATTTTTTGCAAGATTATTTGATATACAGAAAATATTCATAATTGATTTTTTAAATGTATAAAAATATCAGTAAGAAAAAGTATTATTAAATATGAATAAAATTGTTCTTACCTCTTCATCCGCATACCTCAAATGCTTGCCTTTGGATTCTAAAAGTAAGAGAGAGAACAATAAAACAATAAATAAATGAATAAAGCAATAACAAAACTTGTCTAACATGAGTAAAATTTACCATAATCTAAAAAAAAAATGAAAAAAAAAATATGGCATTCTTACAGTGGGTATCTATATTGATGAATTCTAAATGAGTTGGAAAACAAAAATTCAAGGAAGCTGCTTTAGAGAACTCAGTTGTCTCAAAGGACTGGCTTTAAAATACTAAACCGCAGAATGCAAAAGGTTAAAGAATTCAATGCATAAAAAATACACTTTATGTATAACTTTAATAGCGTTAAGGATTCTAAATACTGATTTTTTAGTTCTGCTTAACATCTCAGGACTTACAGGTAGCCAATTTACAAAGAATAAATCTTATTCAAGGTCTAGATATTGAATCAGAAAGAAACAAAACCTTCTCGCATCAGTGAGCATGAGCCTCACATGAACATGAGGTTAATAGCAGTTGCATGCTATCATGAGAAAGAGCCTATCTTTCATTATCTAATCACCAATATAAATCTTTATATTTAGCAATATAACACAAATATGTCACACAGCTTTTCCCCTAATTTTGTTACCTGAAGGTGCCTAAGTCTAACTCTCTTCCCTCTTGTAAATTCTGGCTCTCGGAGTTGACAAGTTAACTGCTTCTTCAGGTTCTCTTGTATGATTACTTCCTTTACTTCTTCTGCCTTTGAAAGTTTAATTTTGTGCTAATCCTAATCCTAAATTACTTTGTGCTAAATTAAGCATTCTGAAGCAGAACTTATGAAGTGTAAACTACACTATTTTATATTAGGTCTTGTAGAAATATGCATATCAGCATTCCTACTTCCACCAGCTTTCTTGGCAGTCACTACTTGGCCTCTGGGCTATGTGTTTGTACAAGGCAATGTATTGGTGCCACATGCCATGATTTCCTGTCTACAAGTTCAGTGTCCATTTTGTGGATTCTTTGCCTGACATTAATTTCATCGTACATAATTAATTCCATCTTACATTAACATTAATAAGAAGTTAATTCTAGCTTGTGCCTCTACAGTACTTTCACTTCCCTTGTAGGTGCCATATCATAAAATTCAGAAAATGATTTAATTATGATTTGTACAACAACTTAAGTTTGATCCTGTCACAACAGGTAACTACAAACTAAGACTGAAGTAATTTCTCACCTTGCTACAAAGAAAAGAAAAAGGAGGGGAAAAAAATGAAAAAAATGAAAAAAAGCTGGAAAGTGGGAGGAAATAGGAAAGGGGGGGGGGGGGAGAACAAAAAGGAAATGTTACCTCTTCTATTTCAGGTTTCTGATATAAGAAATAAGGGCAATCAACTCAGAAATGATATCCAAGTTCAGAGACATAGCAAAAATTTTTGTAATGCTAATCTAGTTCAGGATGAGACCAAAGAAAAACAAAAATGAAAAAGAATAATCAAAAATAAAATTTTACAGGAGGAGGCCATCAACAGACAGCCTAAAGCATAACATGCTGTTCAGAGTTGAAGAATATCTCACTCAGCAGTAAGAGACCAAGAACCATCATCTATTCTCAAATCTTTTTTCTAAATGCTAGTAGGGACATTCACCAGAGAAAACAGAGATCCTCCACTACCTAACATCACTTCCAATAGCTTTGAGATCACAGTATGTTGCAAAGGCCATTTCGCTTACAGATCTTCTTTTGTCCATAGACAAAAGTAAGTAGATACCTTCCTAGTTCAATTTATCTCAAAATATCACGTAAAGAAAAACCTCCATAATACAGTAGGTTCATTTGGCAAATTTAAAAATGCTATTTTGCATATGCTGTTCTTACACTGAAAATATACTTTGAAGCAAAAGCAAAGGAAAACTTGAATATCAGGCAGAAAGAATAAGGTGGATTTGAATCACATTTAACACCTTATCAACTCATTTTTCTTTTGCCTTTTAGAGAGATCTTTAAAAACAAGAACCAAAAAAAAACCATGAGAGTTTTAGAACTGGCCGCTATGTGGTCTGAAATTGTGTTCTTTGCTACTCTAACTCCCCATATCCACTAATCACAAACTAAATCAAACATGACAGCCACCTCCATTTCTCAGGTCTTCAGGATATTTCCTGCCCCCAGATGGCATTCAACAGTGTACAAAGGCATCAAAGAAAACATATTTTGATAGGACTTCAGCATTTTTAGCCCTCATGGAAAGATTAGGATGAGATACCTAGAAACTAGAATATATCCCTAGAGCTGCCTTTATATTTCTTTAACTTTATAGATTTATTGACTGGATACTGAAGACAAGGTTAGTTTATCTTCCAGGTTTAAAATGATGACCTGAAAAGGTGGGGGGAAAATCAAAAGGAATTATAAGAATACTCCTAAGAGCATGACTCACATTATAAAGTGAACAGAGGCTGAGCAATGAACATTGAAATGAGCAAAAGTCAGGTCCTATAAAACTACAAGTGCTCTCAGTGCTTGTTAGCTTCAACAAGAACTGAGGGGGCTCAAGCTGTGGAGGACTGCATTGCTGCATTAGTTGTCTCTAGAACCTAGAGAACGAAATAGGACCACAATTAAAGTAGAACAGAGTAACAGAACAACTCCTTCTCCATAATAACTTAGGTATACACTGAAAGTGACCACTATGTACCAGCTTCGGGCTATCTTTTGACATGGTGGAAAAAAGAAAAAGAGGCAGAAGAAGAAAATAAAATAGCTGTTGGTTATTTATAGATGTTTGATAAGGTTTCTGAAGGTCTTCATGTTCTTCAAAGTACAGGGAGTTTTCTAGGTGTAATTCACTTGATGTAGTTCCCCTGTCAATCCTACCTATCTGTTATTCACTGAAAGAACAGCTAAGTCAAATCCTCTAGTATTACTGTAGTCTATTTCAAATGAGCCACCATGCTGTGTGAGACATCCTTCATTCAGACCTGATTTTCTTTCAAATTTTTTGAGAAAGTGGGCCTACCACATTTTGTACTCCTAAAGAAATACAATTATCTAAAAACAAAGAACAAACAAACAAAAAAACACCTTTTACCAAGTCTCAAATTTGATCCAGGAAACTAGTATCTTAGCTCTAAAAATACAATCTTTTATACCTGATGACAGACACACTAGGACAGTCATTATTAGCAGATTCAGTTACTAACAAGCACTAACAAGTTCTCTAAATTGTCTATGCTCATTCCCTAGAGATACATGAGAACTACTGCTTTGTCTTTTCTCACAGACCTCTGTATATGAAAAGCAAACATACCTGGAAGGATAATCAAGTCAAAAGATTTCAGTTAGCTGCTCCACTTTTTCTAAAAATGAAAATAGGGATGCATGTTCCTTTGATAAATATACCAGTTTTTGATGGTCAGCCACTCTGTTTGTTCATTTTTAAATTAATGCAGCAGAGATTAAATAGCACTTTCTGTTTAGAGGTGTAGGTGTTATCAGAAATGATAGTAACTAGCATTCAAGCAATAATCCAGGAGAAAAACTGATAGCTTGGAAGCTATTTCCATGAGAATAAATCAGAATAGTTCATGTGTTCCCAAAAAGATTAAATATCTGTAAGAAACGCACTTCCACTACACTGCTTGAAGGCATCAGTAACACAGGTTGGAAGGACAAGTGTCAGCTTTCTGGATAGGAAACATCATACATGGCAGAGGAGCAAAGGTGATCCCAGCTGTACATTGCTGGAATAGAGTATCTTACAGATCATTACTTTCTTAGGGCACAACTGCTTTCACATGAAGGGTATTTCATTTATTTATTTATTTACTTTATATTTTCACTTAAAAGCAAAACAAAAATCAGTAAAAAACAAACAAACAAACAAAAACTATCCAAGCCTGTCTTTTAATCAGTTGAGTACCAAGAACCCTCATGCTAAAAATATCACAGAATCATTTAGGTTGTAAAAGCCCTTCAAGATCAAGTCCAACCATCAACAGCTAAGACAATTAGAGCTTGAATCCCCAGCTCTTCAAGCATGAATATGTGCCTGAGTGCATGCCCCTGCACTGCCCTCCTTAGAAGCATGTTACTCCTGTGCTAGTAGGTCACATGTAATAAGGGAAAAACTTCCTTGCTGACTGAGGTTGTTGTCCTCCAAAAGCTCAACATCAACACACTGTCTGAGCAGAGGACATTGGTCTTCATGTCCACACGTGACACCGGAGCTCATACAACCAATCACAAAATCCTAAGAGCTGCATACTAGCCTACTAATACTATGGATAAACACAATACTTCTGTCTTTGTAATTATATTCCATAGCATTCAAAGAAAACGCAAGCTGACTGAACTTCAAAGTGATTTGGTATTTATATGGGCCATATAATTTGGGAAATGAAAATATCTATGACAGCACTTCTAATTTTGTGAGGACAAATTAAAATAAGAGATCTCTTTATGGATAAGACTGCAGAAAGACTCTAATGCCAATCTAGAAAGAAACGAGTGGAAGAGAGAGATGCTGAGAGGACGTGTATCCCAATTATCACATCTGCTATGCCAATACACCTCTTACAAGCATCCACGCCATTCTATTTCAAATGTTCAGTGTTGTTCCATAGAAATCAGCAGGGGCTATGACTTTTGTAGCAGCAGAAACAATGTCCTGAGTAGGAGGCAATGTGGGCTAGAAATGAAGGCCTACGTGACCAAGATCACACAAAGGCTGATGAGCAACTTTAAACAGGAGTTTCAGGACAAGCTGGGTTTATGTCCATTAGTACTGAAAACATGCAATGAATCCGATTTTATTTCTGTTTGAACAATTATTTTTAAATTATTTTAAACTTTTACACTTTGACAGTTCCACATTTTGATATTATTGAGAGAGAAGCATTGGTATTATTCTACTGTAGACAGTCATTTACGGTTGATTTATCTCTAATTATAGTAAAATCAGCAAGGGCATAATTCTTTCATATCGACTTTAAGGAGAGAAAAGTTTGGGCTTAAAGAAAGCCATATTAGTAAATAAATCCCTGTATTACAAT